AGACTGAACATTGATTCAATTCTTGGTTACGTGACATTTAAAATCGTCTTTAATGAATAGACGACTGTAACTACATTTTTTTTTACTTTTTTTTATTTTGAATTGTATATATTCTTTTTATTCTAGGAATTCAAAACCAGGAGAATAGGGAGGTCCCTATCAGATTATTCAAGAAAGGAGGGGAACCATACTAAAATATCCTGTGAGCCCCCCCAACAAAAGTGCATTTAGCCCCACCCGGTCTTGTTCTCATTAGCAATGAAGAGTTTGCTCACCCCATAATCTAACATGGAATGCTTAGAGCAGACAGGTGCAAATTGCAAGCTGTTTCACTTTGGCTGTTATCCCTTAAATAGACAAAGTAATAGACTGGGGTAACAAAAAAGGTTCCAGCTCAAGCTGCATAAATGAAAGTCTTAACAGGGACAGAGCAGCTGGCTAGGAGAATTCAGTGTGGTGAATACTAAATTTTACCTTTATGCCACTTGCCAAGGAAAACGGCTTCAATAACACCCTCTGCCTTTTATCATTGAGATGATGTTCCTTCAGAACAGTCTTTTGCTTTATTGTAAAGGCAACACTAGGGCAGAAGTAGAGGCGAAGAGAAGCCAACATATCTGCTCCTGTTTACCATCAGTTCACTCCTCCGAGCAATTCAGGCATGATTAGGTTCCTGGAGGTGGACCAGATTGACAGTATTTCTAGCCATGGTGGTTTTTTTTTTTTTTTTTTTTTTTTGGCTGATCCAAGCAAAGCCCAGGGGCAGTGAAACAACTGAAACAATCACTATCACCCCCTCCTCCTCAACAGGATGAATCTGCTGAGCTGGTCTAGTCTGATGGAAAACACACACACACACACACACACACACACACACACAAAACCAAACCAAACCAAAACAGTTGTTCACATGAGCAACACCTAGATTAATCTCATGGAAGAGATGTGCCATGCCAGGAGGTGTGGGCACCCGAAGGTAGGTGCCCGTAAAGGAGGCCCTAGCACTGTCAGCGCAGGGTGCCCTGGCTTTGGGACTTCCCGGGGAGGGGTGGGGGGGAAGCACTGGAGCTGCGGCCTGGAAGTTGCAACTCGTGCGTGCCAGGGGGCCCCCTGCACCCCAGCGCGTCTGGCTGGGAGGTCTCCCGGTGCACGGGGTGGAGGGTGAAGGGTGGGGGGGGGGGCGCCGAGGCAGACAAGCCCCAGCAGGCCTCGTTTACACGCGGGCAGGGCACAAGAGCTAGACGCAAATGAGGGCTGACGGTTCCATGAAGCACAGCCGGCCGGTGGCAGATGCGATCTGACGGGCCCGGCCTGAGCCCCGCGCCCCGCGCCCCGCGCCCCGCGCCCCGCGCCCTGCGCAGGAGTCCGGCTGGCCGGCCCGTGCCCCCCGGTCGGAGCTGCGGCCGCGCCCCGGGTCAGGCTCGGGGACCCGGGGCCTCCCACGACACTCCCAGGCTCCCCGAGACTTCCGAGGTTTTGCTCAGCACTGGTCATCAGTGAGTTGGTTGCAGCTGCTCAGGTTGGCCCCTCGATCCCAGTGGCTGTGCACCCCCCACCCCCCTGCAAGGTGACCCTGTGTCCCATCAAAAGGTATTTATGGGTTTTGAAAAATTTTTATTTATTTATTCATGATAGAGAGAGAGAGAGAGAGAGAGAGAGGCAGAGACACAGGCAGAGGGAGAAGCAGACTCCATGCAGGGAGCCCAGCGTGGGACTCGATCCCGAGACCCCGGGGTCACGCCCTGGGCTGAAGGCGGCGCTAAACCGCTGAGCCACCCGGGCTGCGCGGTATTTATTAATTTTTAACGAAAAGAAACATCTCATCCAAAACAGTCAGTTCTCACCAATTCCAGGCAGGTTTTTAATTTTTTGAAATATTTTTTTTTCTCTTCTGTTCTAATCAAAAGCATTACTTGCTTCCCTCCCACTCCCCCCACTACCACATTTCTATATTTAGTAAGGTAACCTTGCTAATTTTTTTTTTTTTTGGAAAAGACCCCATTTATCACTACTTCAGCACACATGCAAAATAAGTGTCTGACCTGAACCTGCCCGCTTCGATTTGATTTGGAGTTAGATTATATCAATTATGTAGAAATGGGAAGGGAAAAAGCCATCAGGTCTCTCCAGTAGTTTCGGTCAAGATTTCTAAACGTTTTGCTTTTTCTTCAGAACCAAGTAGACATGGAAGGGAAGCAGGAAGTTACTGATGATCAAATTTTGTTCTTCGTTTAATTTTTGAAATACTGGATACGTATTTATTTATTTTTATTTTTTAAAGGTTTTTAAAAAGTTATTTATTCATGAGATACAGAGAGAGAGAGAAAGAGAGACAGAGAGGCAGGGACACAGGCAGAGGGGGAAGCAGGCTCCACGCAGGGAGCCCGATGTGGGACTAGATCCCAGGACTCTGGGATCAGGCCCTGAGCCAAAGGCAGATGCTCAACCACTGAGCTACTCAGGTGCCCTCAGATAGGTATTTAATAAATTAATATGAGCT